GTATAAACCTAACCTATACTAACCTTGGAGATCTGGGCGACACTGAGGCAATCAATTCTTAGATGGGTTGGTCTTTATTTTCTTGATAACCTGCATATAGGAGTCGTAGTTTTACGGCATTTGTTAAAGTAGCTATAACAGCTGTCCACTAATAATACAGTGAACCTAGTTGTAACGGCAGTCCATTACGGCTTTTTGTAAACTAGTCATATATTATAGCATTTGTTAGAATAGCTATAACAGCCGTCCATTTTGTAACTTGTTAGAAAAGCTATAACGGCCGTCCATTTTGTCACTTTTTGGAGTAGCTATAACGGCTGTTCACTAATATTACACTGTACTTAGTTGCAAAGACCGTCCATTACGGAACATTTTAAACTAGAAATTTTGGCCGTCTACTACGTCACTGTTAAAACTTGCAATGACGGCCGTCTGCTACGTCACCAGTGAACCTGGCTATAATGGCCGTCCACTACGACACATAATAATCTACCTAAAATGGCCGTCCACTTCGTCACTTGCAAATTACACTTAATAAATATTCTATGTAACAAGGAATATAGGATATAATTCTGTTTAAAACGTTCTACAATTAATCTACACATTTAATTAAACTTCAGAGTACTTAATTAAAATTCTACAGAGAGAAAATTTCGAACTAGAGCAAGTATCACAAAGGTTGAAGCGTTAGATAAATGATACGTGTCGCACTACCATTGATATCTTTTTATGTAAGCTTGACAAATATAGGCGGATCCAAATGATAAGTAAGTGGGTGGATTAGCTAAGAACCGTCCCCAGGGGCTCGCCCGTTATGACCCATACAAACATAGTATGCACTTTATATAAAAGCTTGTAAAAATACACAACTATTAAAACAAAAATCGTATTGTTCGTACTTTGTTCAAAACTGAGACAGAAATTAAAATTAGGAAATGAATTCCAGCAGTTTCCAAATGTATTCAGAATTTTATTATCAATATAAAGACGTACATTTTCTATTGACTAATATCAATTTTCCCTTTAATAAGTAATTTCAAGGTGTTTCAAAAAATAATTAAGTTTTTTTGCAATTAAAACATTAAAATCCAAACACTTGAGAAATCGATGTGTTAATTCAGTCGGCCAAATTGGGGTTTCGGTTTACAGAATAAAATGTTTTTAAAAATATTGTTGCATGATTTTTATCATCCTCATCACCTTTTACCGTCGATACCCAGGGTAAATGGGGCCGCTTGAGAAAGCCACTCTTTCACAACTTTCTCTGCTCTTGTCAGAAGGTTTCTGTTGTCTGTATCTAATTCTCCCTCAACCTTCACAGTCCACTTAGTTTTCTGTTGTCTGTATCTAAGTCTCCCTCAACCTTCACAGTCCACTTTCAGGTTGACAATCGAGCGCCATTACAGTAACTTAGTCTGGTCTCATCCTTAATACATGGCACATTTAGCGTCATCTTTCTTCGGTTTATTCTGATACAATTTTAAATTTCTCAGTCTCCTAGAAACCTATTATTAAAGATAGTCAACGGCCAGTGGATGTCATTTTTCGTTCATAAAAAGCATCCAACTTTTGATATCCAAGTAAGAGTTTAAACTATACGATTACTATTACATGCTACATAAGTTAATAATAACAATGATAGAGAAAACATGCAACTAATTACGAATATACACACAATGAAATGCACCTTATTTTGGTAAATACGTAATATATTTTAGTTGGTTCATACAAATATAAGCATATTTTAACACGCTTAATCAGCCTTTGGTTTTGATAATTTCTGCATACGTTTTTCATGCTCTTTAGTATATGAAAACGTGTTTTTAAGTCGTTTTTATGAAGTTTTTAGGGTCAGGTTTTAATTACTGATTTACTGAACGTTTTATTGATTAAAAAAAACTCTTATATGTAGTCAGATAAGTTGAATATAATATATTTTACGTCATATTAACAAAGTTATATAGTATTTCTTCTATGCATTACAAGTTATATGATATTCAATATTCTTCGAGAATCAATCTTGAGGTTTTTAATAAACTTATGCTTTTTCTGGTTTACGGAAAAATGTCTTTTACTGTTATAGACTTGGCTCCAATCATTTATATCATAGCCATGGCGAAAAAAAAATGTTAAAAAAAACATACGTATGTTCGTTTACAGAATATCTTAAGACAAATTCGAGAGCTTTACATCGTGCTACGCTAAAATTAAAGCGGGATAGATCTTCCCTAAACTTTCTCAAATATACTTATGTAACACTACGAGGGACGGCAAATCGGCATATAGATATAATTTTAATCAATTGTAAATTACTTGTTTTTTTCCCCTTTTATCCGCATGTTGTTATTGTGTTTGTAATTTTTTGTGAATTAAAAAAAAACTGGGGAAATTAAAAGTTCAAATTCTAGACGCAGTCATATCCCCTTTAATATCACACCTACTTGAAAACAGTTTAGTAAAGGCCTAAATGTTAAAGGATTTTTCTTTAATCCAAATTTTTCTCCGTTTAATCGTGCGTGTAGTAAAAAAACAGTGAAAATTAAAAGTTCAATTTCCTTTCGTGGAATCTTGAAGATATCATTTGATAATAATTAAAACATACTTGGTATCTTTTGATTAGGATAGATATTTTAGTTCCTAGCAAATTTATTTACTAAAACATCGATACCATTAGCTTTTAAGTGTCTGAATAGTTCAGCTCTAATGCTTTCATTATCAAATTCCTCATTGATTTTATGTGTGCTTCATATTGTACTTGCTCTTTTCTTCCAGCTTTTTCACACTTTTGTTTTAAATCTCAGCAAATTTTTGGGCTTACTTTTGTATATTCTCATGTGTAAGGTTTAATAAATCCATTTTAAAATCCAACTTTGATTAGTTAGAAAAACACTGGATATCCAGCGGTACATTTTCTACTCGAGCGCTCAACTTCTAGAACAGGTAAACTTGAAAGATCTAGACAAGGAATATATCGCCTTGTGTTGTTTACATTTAGGCTGTGCCACAAATATTTCTCCAGTAGCCTCCCCTTGTCTGTACGTTTGACGCCGTATAGAACCTTCGTATCCCATTTTACCCAGTCACGCTCCCCCTACCGTGACAGCTTGCAAATTGCAAATGTCTTTGATGGCGGCAATACTCTGGGAACACACACATACACACGTCTTCAGAATACAAGCTAATCTCTCATTTCTAACACACGAGCATTTCTGTTTTAAGCTCATTATATACCATCTAACTTGTTAAAAGGAACTATGAAAAGTATTAAAGCACGATGCTAAAATCAACTTTTAGCTAGGACCAGAGATAAAAAAAATAAAGCTAATACTCGAGCTAATACCAAAAAATAACATTAAGGTAAAATCTTGTCAGCAGTGGTCTGGTGTCGGAAGGTCTGACCTGTATTGAAAACATTTACGTTAGAGGAACTGACAAGCTTACAGGATTTACACACCACATCATAAGTTGTATCTTGTATGACAAAATGCTGATAGAAATGGAAACATTTAGTTAATAAAGCACTTCTACTGCTAAAATATTCGGCAATACACGTGTAGTTATTGATTCATCCTAGGATCTCATATTAATATCAGTACAATTATATAGAGTTTACATGTTTCTGTAATCTCGACATGAGTATGAAAAACGTTGTCAATGTGTACGTTCCATAACGTGAGTAAAGTACGATCGTAGCTGTGTGGACTTATTTACGTGAGTAAAGTACGATCGTAGCTGTGTGGACTCATTTACACACTACAATTAGCCTTGGTCCTTATTGCCTTCATCACATTAAAAAAAAACGACAGTTATTTTATGTTTGATAATTCTGAAGATTGTATTATGTGTTCAAAAAACAAACGAAAAAAACAAAACAAATGAAATAACACATTAACCATAAGTTATACAAACGGATGTATTTGTAAATATATAAACCAAACAATTCCTCAAACTACACAAAGGAAGGCTTGATATAAAAATTAAGTGGACGTTATTATAAAGATGTATATAAATGCATATAATTGCTTTTCATTAATTGTGTCCATGTAAATGTACTAAACAAATACAATTATAAAATTAGGTAATTGGAAATTTCTCTAGCCTATGGTATGGAACACGACACTAAATTGTTCACGGGAGATAACAATTAAAATTACTCACATGATTTGTGAGAGTATGGTTATATACTTTGAAAACGATAATAAAAGAATATCCCAATCTCAATAATACAAACATATTCAGAATTAAACTTTTACTTTGTACTATTATGTACTTATATGTGACAGTAGAGATTTCTTAATAAACAAACATGCTCGATATGAGATACACTAGATAAAATATTAACTACTTAAACATAAGATTCATTTAAATAATCTATTTTTATTCTACTATATGACCGCATAATGTTCACGTTTATAATACAAAGCTTTACAGATCCCAAATTAACAGTTACTATCTACTTTATGCGAAGTTAGGTGGCATATAGATCTATATCTTTCGAAAAACTATGCAAAATATATTATTGAAAAAATTGCACAAACATTACACACGTTATTAGAGTTGAAGTTTACACGATCCGAGTGAATGTCTGATTAAAGATATAGTGGTAGATGACAACTACACTACTAGTCTAGTTATGAATATGCAAGAAATAAATGACACCATCATAGTCGGATTGTTTTCCTGTTTTAATGGCTAACACACACACAGTCAATCTATGAGGAATTTCAATTCCAGATGAGTGTATACATGGCTTTATTACATCATAATAGCAAAACAAACTCTGTTGTAGTTTTTAAAATAATTTTTTAAAATAGAATGTTTGGTTTAATGTTCGGTAATTTTAAACTTCTTATGTATAGTCACCATCAAGAAAATATTGCCTTATTTAAATGTTTACATCTATTTTAATATATGTAATGTTGCTTATGTTCCTGAAGATTATATAAATAATTTGATTACTGTATATCCATTGTTTTACCATAGCATTGTTTTCGGGTTGTTTACATTCGACGAAGTTTCATCTCAACAAAGTCTAGAGAGTCAGTAAAGTCTGTAATGCCATACCAATTAATTCCATTCATATGAACACGACTCGCCCATTCACCGTTGACGTTAACCCTGTGACAATCCCTATACCACCACCCACCGCTACCGTAGTCTACAGCACAATTTCCATCTGACCACTTATCGTTATCAGAGTCAATGGTTGTAAACTTCATGCCGTTGTGAAAACTAAACCAGTCTACAACATTCCCACCACGGAATGACGTGTAGCTCATCTTATACTTTGCTGCTTCATTTTCTACCTTAAAACCTCTGTACACGTCGTGGTAGTCTTTACCTTTATACTTCATGTCAAATCTGAGTTCATTATAACCCTGTGTTAGACAAAAAATTAGAAATATTTAGATACTGCATTGTGTTTTAAATATTTTAAGTAATGATCCCTCTATACTATATGATAATTATACATATTGATTAAAAAGTAATGAAAATCTATAAACAATATGCACAATTTTCCAAAACACATTATTACAATAATACACACACTGCTTGAAAACTTTCTTTGTAAAAAAAAAATTGAATGAACTTATTGGGATAGTTCCTGTATCTATCCCATCAATAAAACAAAAGACGTCTGTTGAGAATGGAAATATTACATTATCTATTGTCTGCTTACATTGCAGCTTAAAAATATATTCCCTTACAAGAAATACTATTTATATTCAATTTACGTATGGCTTTTCTAGAACTCCTTCCTTTTCATTAATAACCTTACATTGCCTGCCGTTGTAGCACGCTCGCAGGTAATAAACCCATCTCCCTTACAATATATATCACTTATGTACTTTTGATTCTTTTGATAAGCTCAATAGCCCTAATTCTAAAGCTTACAACGTATCTTATTTGTATCTCTATATGTATGTTGTGTAATCGGGTTAATAAAATTAAGATGAGGACAGGCGGGACGGTGTGGAATAGAACTGTTGATAAAACCGGTAGAGGAAGAAATGACCGGCAGAAAATATCCTGCTGACTGCATTACACTATTCTTTAAGGTTCGTTACATAACCACGATCTTTATTATATAAGATATGTTACCATTCCTAAAAATATCTAACTAATCTGTAAATCGCTTCTCTAATAAACACTTCTGAAATCAACGGATCAAGACCATTAGTTATTCCCGATAACAATAAAAACACTATTAACATACTGCATGTGCAGTAAATGCACCTTCGTCATATAAAGTGAAGATGTTAGTTAGCTATTGTTTTGTAAAATTTAAAAACTCAACGAAATACATTAGGATGCATTCGCCATTAAAATAGCTAGTTACTTAATCTAGGTCTATTTAAATGTATTTTAAATATTCAATGCCATGACTGATGATTTAAGTGTGCATTTCAGTGACATGTATACACCAGACCCACTGTCCAATCGATGTGAAGATTAAATAAAATTATCAACATGAATTTATTAGTAACTGTAAACAATTGTATGCTATATTAACAGCAGAAATTTCAAGACTTTGCATTTACTACGTATCTCCACATTTGCAGCTTATATTATCCATCCATCTATTTATTCCCTTTTTGTACTGCCCATTAACAGTTTTAGACAGATTCAATACATTCTTCTGCTCACATTTGTCATATATCTTCATCGTTCAATTCTTGAATTTTATTTATTTATTGTATCTCCACCTCAGCAATGCATCTAGGTCAAGTTATAGCCTACATTATGGTAGCAATGCAGAGCGTGTCTAAAAGAGCATCGTATTTTTTTTCTCGATCAGTATACAACCTCTACGGCGGCTTAATACTAAACTCAATTACAACCTAGAATGTATAAGGTTTACGGTTGGATAATTTATATTTAACTCTCAGCTTCCGAGTTTCTTGATTACAACACCTTAGATACTTATCACTGCCTCGGGTGTCTCACCAATCCCTCCCCTTTCTGATGTTTTTGCCCCCATGACCCCACCCCTACAACCCTCGTGCCCCCATGACCCCACCCCTACAACCCTCGTGCCCCCATGACCCCACCCCTACAACCCTCGTGCCCCCATGACCCCACCCCTACAACCCTCGTGCCCCCTGACCCCACCCCTACAACCCTCGTGCCCCCATGACCCCACCCATACAACCCTCGTGCCCCCATGACCCCATCCCTACAACCCTCGTGCCCCCATGACCCCACCCTTACAACCCTCGTGCCCCCATGACCTCACCCCTACAACCCTCGTGCCCCCTGACCCCACCCCTACAACCCTCGTGCCCCCATGACCCCACCCCTACAACCCTCGTGCCCCCATGACCCCATCCCTACAACCCTCGTGCCACCATGACCCCACCCATACAACCCTCGTGCCCCCATGACCCCATCCCTACAACCCTCGTGCCCCCATGACCCCACCCCTACAACCCTCGTGCCCCCATGACCCCATCCCTACAACCCTCGTGCCCCCATGACCCCATCCCTACAACCCTCGTGCCCCCATGACCCCACCCCTACAACCCTCGTGCCCCCATGACCCCACCCCTACAACCCTCGTGCCCCCATGACCCCACCCCTACAACCCTCGTGCCCCCTGACCCCACCCCTACAACCCTCGTGCTCCCATGACCCCATCCCTACAACCCTCGTGCCCCCATGACCCCACCCCTACAACCCTCGTGCCCCCATAACCTCACCCCTACAACCCTCGTGCCCCCATGACCCCACCCCTACAACCCTCGTGCCACCATGACCCCACCCCTACAACCCTCGTGCCCCTGACCCCACCCCTACAACCCTCGTGCCCCCATGACCCCACCCCTACAACCCTCGTGCCCCCATGACCCCACCCCTACAACCCTCGTGCCCCCATCTCTTTTCGTACTATTTATTCTGTATGAATATGGTTTCTATTGTTCCTTTTCTAATCGGTTTTATTTACATAACATTCAAACTAACATTGTAATGATGTTTTAACACTAATTTAATAGTAATTTATATCTGCTGTCCATTGGTCCACAGCTTACATGACCCCATGACCCCATCCGTCTATCTCCCACCCCCTTGACCCCACCTCTTTTCACACGAAGTCGAATATCCTGAAAGTCATTCTTAGAATGGTTTTGCTTACTATTATGAACATGTACTAAACTATTTAAATTCTTTCATGAGAACACTGCTATCCAATTTTTTACCTTTAAAACTCCACCGTATCCCCAAACTATAGCTTCACGCTTACCCACCCAAAACATTTCGGTACTAAGCAGTCAATTAATCTTAGCTACGACTATGCACATCAACACTGAAGCACCACACTTTATACCCTCCCACTTAATCACTAACACACCAACCTGTTCGGACCCCCCCCCCCCTCCCAACGACCTCACCATGCCCCCACCCACCTGAACATCAGCTTTGATTTGAAAAGATCAAGCAGAGCTTGTTATTACTTTCCCTTATTTTTACATAGTTTAAAACCTAAATTATCGGCCCCTAATAGCCGTAAATAATTCGACCGGGCTCTACGATTGTAAACAAATCACCAGACTGATAGGGTGGGGGTGGTAGCGACATGGTCTGTTGGGTATGCATAGAGAGGGGGGGGGGGGTTAGGCGTGCGTCTACGTCTTGTCCCGAATGGTCCCCATGAAGAGAATTACATACGTAGATGTTTATTGTACACAATGGGATGAAATCCACTTAAAACTACTTTATTTTCGACTATTCTACAATATGTTATAATTTTCACCCTCGTTTATTGGTAAATTGTTCTAAACTAGCCTTTGACCACTTTTTGAACCAACGTGTTTTAAACCCAATGTATTTTATGTATTTATTTACATATCTATTTATTTATTTATTATACCATATGCTTCACTCTAACTACCTTGTAAATATCCCCCCGAACGGCATGGTATGTTACAGTATTTGTTTTAAAATTACAAAACACGATTACGTCAGGCCCAAAATTAGTTTGGACATTATAGTATCTGGTTTGTTATCTCAGCATAGTTACACATCTTATTGACATTTTGTAAATTACTCAGGAAATAGATCATTTTAAATTAATTGAAGCAGGCTACAGAAACTTTTCTGCGGGGGATCCTTTTTTTCTAGTTCCGCAATGATAATAACACATCAATATATTTTCTTCCAAGAAAAATCTAGATTAAACGAACGTATGAATGCCAATTGTAGTACAATATACTTCACTTACCGAATTAGTTATTCACTGCTAGTCAATAATACCATATTCTCTAAAATGTATTACCCTAGTACTGTAATTATTGTCCTCTCCTTTAAATTTCAACATTTTATGATTCCTATACATCTACTATTCATATCCCTAAGCTTTACATATCGCTAACCATTTTATACATTTCTCCATGTACTGTTTTCCGTTGAATAATAAAATGGGCCAGTGTCCTATTGCATTTTGTTTGTTGAGTGGGAGTGATTTACAGGGGTAGTTAATCTGAGGAAATGATAGGGGGGTAATGACTTGAGGATACTTAAAGAGGGTGGGAAGGCGAGATATGTAATATTCTATCCTTAGGTTTTCCCTGACCCATGTAGATATAATTAAAACATTATTTCTAGAGGAGATATTAAAAAATAAATAAGTGTATCTCATCTACAATTCAGAGATCATATAATAATAAAAATAATATGACATATTGCGATGAAGTGGACAAGACTTTTGTTTACCGATAGTAAGATAAAATGTTTTTTTTCTTTATTAGACTACCTTTAACAGTTGTATACGTGCAAGTTGTGTCAATTGAGATAATGTATTATAGTTTGTCAGATTATATTTTATTTTAGTAAAATATAAAAATCACTCAACCAAAAAAGCAAGTTTCATACGCAATTACCCGTGTCAAATTAGTTACTACAACGTATTTAATCGCCAATAAAAGTACTAAATTTTAAAGTAGATACTTTGTTGAAAATCTCGTAGACGAAATTATGATCGAATTGAAAATTTGATGTTGAAACGACCCCATGTTTTGGGAAACAGTTATCACATAACGTAAACAAGCTAGAGTATACATGTATCGAATAAAGTGATTTTTTTAAAGAATAAGAAATTAAGTGATGCCATGTACATTGTGTAGTACAAAATTCAGTTTCCATGCATATTTTTAAAGTAGCCATTATTTCCTTACCGAATCTGTTAAGTGAGAAATTACGTCATTTCCGATCCAAAAGTCTCCAGATGTTGAACCAAATCCGTTTTTATAATCGTTCCAAGTTCTTGTAAAGTTTACATCACCTTTGATACGTCTCTGTAAGAAAAATGGCACCGCTACAATAGAGTCATAGCAAGTTGATATAATTTATTCCAAAGATTAGTTATGCTTCAAATTACGCACGAGATAACATTTTAAACGTTTTAAATAATCAAAACGCTTCTCTACGAAAAAATAGCATTGATAAAACTACGGTTATGTGAGTTGATTTGATTTATTCTAAGGCTTAATTATCTTTGAAATATTTTAGGATTCTAGTTATATCATACAACAAACAATTTACATAAAATCAAAGCAGTCGTTACTTATAAGACCTAATATTCTTCACATTAACTCTCTAAAATATTTCCAATACTTTGTGTATTAGACAGTTACAACTATCACGAGATAAACTTTAACGTTTGCTTCTGTTCAAACTCGAAACCAAATAAATCCCCAATTGTATACATACAACAGAAAGGATATTTTACAAATACATAGACTTAAAAAAATGCACTAAACACTATTGTAGTTTATCACATAATCTGATTCTGTCTATTTTATTTTAATACCCTAAATTTTATTCAGATCAACAAAATAAACAAGACTATTTAGATTCATCTTTTCTCCCCAAAACGACGAGATATATTAACAATTCTGTTGTGGACTGGTCACCTGACTTCGGGTAAACCAATAAGAATATTAATCTGCAGTTTACCTGAACTATAAAACAACTAGAGCCAATGTATTTTGATGTAAATAAAACATTTTAGAGTCAAAAATGACAAATAAACCTGAATAACAATCCATCCTCCACCGTCAGTCCTGTTATCACACAATGTTCTGCTGACATCTACTCCAATCTTTGTCATGTCCGTAAAAACACGATCGTTCAGGTTGGCACACTTTAACTGGAATCAAATTCATTTCTAATATTTTTATTTATTATTATTAGTTGAAACGGAATAAAATTATAATATATACGTATATTCAGACAGCTAAACATTTCTCTTTTCTTTATAAATAATTATATTGTATTAACTACATCAACATTATCGCCACATACCACACAACTACGAAGAATATATACATACAAATGTATGTATGTATTCATATACGTATATATGTTTATGCGTGTTTAAATGTGTATAAGTCTAAATATATACGCAGAACTAGTGTTAGTATGTTTTAAAGCTATTTCACAAATATAGCCAATTTAATATATCGTTTACTTTCTAAACATTGTCGAGACAAGGAACTAATTTCTGTACATGTGCGCTCTAGTACAGCAGCAGCAGAAGTAAAAAGTGGTGAAGTTATTATTTCCACACAATTACGAAGATTACATACATACACATGTATGAATGTATTCATATACTTATATCTGTTTGTGCGTGTTTGTATATGTATAGGTATAAGTATAAATATATTCGCAGAAATATAGTTAGCATGTGTTAATGTTATTCACAAAGATGGCCAATTTTAAATATCGTTTACTTTCTAAACATTGTCGAGATAAGGAAATAATTTCTGTAAATGTAAGCTCCTGGTGCAGCAGCAGTAGAAGTAAAAAAGTGGCGAAGTTATTATTTTAAAGACATTCGACTAAATCATACTTTTATAAATATGTATTGATTATGCAATTTTCTTTTAAAATAAATAATAACCCGCTAACGTTTGTAAGAATATTATCTGAATATTAAAAATATTTAAAAACATTTTTGTTTTTCTACTTTTGACGCAACTTAGAAAGGTATCAATGTTAGGCTAATTCGAAAACATACTATGCCTCAGTAAAAACTTTAACTTTTAACAACTTGGGAGCATTGACAAATGTTATGGCGGAATTGGAAAATTTCAAATCGGGACATAGCAGATTTTGATCCTGTACAAATTATATTTAACTTACGTGTTCGCTTTCGTTGAGCATACGGCCAAATCCATGAAATCTACTGACTAGAAAACTAATTTGATCTGATTTAGTAATCAGGTTTTGAATAGTGTTATTCAGCTTTTCCGTATGGACATGTATATCGATGTCTGTATTGTTTAGTAGTGATACAGCTGTTTTTAAATCCTTCAGTGTCTTTGACTGTGTCTCTGACAGGTTTTTGTAGCTTTCCGACATTTGTTCAATGCTTATATTTTGACGTTCCAATATCGCTGTGCTATTTTTTAACATTTCGTTTGTTAAATTTAGTAAATCTTTTTTGAAATCTTGCATGGTTTTTGTTAAAATTTCACTTTTATTTAAACTTTGAGAGAAAGTTTGAACATCGAGTGATACATTAACCACACTATTATTCAGTTTCTCCAGTTGTTTTTGTAAAACAATGTATAGATTTGTTACATTTTGTACCGACCTATTTTGTTTTTCAAGTGTGTTATTGTTTGTTTGTATCTGTTGAATTGTCTTTAGAATGCTTTCAGTTAAGTTGTATTTAAAATGCGTGAGCTCTTGATTTGTGTTATTTAAGGTGTTCATTCTGTTATCAACGTTGTTTATTTGATTTTCAAGTCTCTGAATTGTAGATCCTTGGGCAGATAACAAGCTATTTAATCTACTTTCCATCGCATTAGTAAGGTTAACCAGAGTTTCATCACCCTTCTCCTTTGTTAATTCTGTTTTATGATAACTAAGGTTAGAATGTTTGTGGTCTGTTAAAAACTGTAAATTCATCTTCAAGTCAGCTCTGTTTAACTTATCAGAATATTTAAATGTTTTTAGAAACTCTGACATTCTATCAATTGTTTTATCAAACTCTGGAGTTTTAGCCTCTAAGGTCATCAACATCAGAGGCTTAAAATTGTCTTGGTCAACAGGTTTGGTTTTATTTTCTTTCATCTCAATGAGACCTCTTCTATTTGTGTAATATACATCACATCCAAACGCTGTACTAAAACAATCAGAAGGTTTTGTAAATGACACAGTCAACTCTCCAAGCACTTTTGAAAACTTTCCATCAACTTTTGATCCAGCTACTTTATAATCTCGGACTCTTGAATCTGATTCTGATACTGACGCCAACATAATCTTCCCATCTAATTCACTGATCCTATAGACTGACATATTGACAAGAGATGAGATTTCATTATATTCTCTTGTGTTCTCCACACAATGTAACTTGCCACAAAATAAATCTTTACCCTCCATATAGTATTCTCTTTCCAATGAAATGTCGAGTCCTGAAAATATATAAGTATTTTATAAAAACTTGTAAGCATAAAATATGGCTAAGTTTGCTTTAAATTGAGAAACAAAAAGCTGCAGTTTCCATCCCATTATCATCATGTCTGTGTGTTTGTTTGAAAAGAGTTTTTATCACCGTAAGTTATTTTTATATAAGTATAAGTTTTAAATAAACATGTATTCCACAATTAAAGCATTTATGTTGTTTTTTTTTCAATAGACAAAAGATCGATCACACACAGATGTTCTACAGTGCTTCTCAGCACTGTAAGACAGCTTTACATTTCTGTCAGCTTGAGACAAAAAATATTGCTGGCAACATAAGACTAGTCTGCCTAGATTCTATATTGTAACGTTTAAACGGTCACATCACGTACTTCATCTTTACATCTCTGGAGCATCTTATAAATTATTACAATTTCAATATATACACACATTATAAGTGTAATACTACATAATACTGACATGTTAATAATATATTAAGGATGTTCCGTTATGAAATGCACTTAAGCTAATACGTTGCGGGTATTATAATATATTGATCGATTGTACAAGGTCCATTAATTATATAATATATTTAATCAATCGTGTACTTATAGCACTTCGATGCAGTAATTTTAAGGGATTTTTTTTCGATGTTGTTGTCACAATTGTCACTTTATATTTGGATCCTTCACTCGTTTTACTGTACAAGCACAACCGTTAACCGTTTTACGTTCTGACGGTCAATGGTGCAGTGAGGTTCACCTATTTCAATTACCTCAGTCGATGAAGTGAGAGCGTTTTCAGCAATATTCTCTTCCTCGCTTTATGAATGTAAGTAAACCGTGTGTAAACTTCCAAAATAAAGTTTTAACGCTGCATTTAATGACATCTTAGATAGTCTTATAATATTGTGAGGCTGGTAATCTGCAACATGGTATGTTGATAAAATATGGTATGTTGATAAAATATGGTATGTTGATAAAATATGGTATGTTGATAAAATATGGTATGTTGATAAAATATGGTATGTTGATAATATATGGTATGTTGATAAAATATGGTATGTTGATAAAATATGGTATGTTGATAAAATATGGTATGTTGATAAAATATGGTATGTTGATAATATATGGTATGTTGATAAAATATGGTATGTTGATAAAATATGGTATGTTGATAAAATATGGTATGTTAATAAAATATGGTATGTTGATAAAATATGGTATGTTGATAAAATATGGTATGTTGATAAAATATGGTATGTTGATAAAATATGGAATGTTGATAAAATATGGTATGTTGATAAAATATGGTATGTTGATAAAAACCACTCAACGCAGTAGAGCTCTCACGAGTAAATAAATAACATTCTTTGTTGAAAGGCACATACGCTGTTATGATACTCAGATATAATTGAGCAACGTATCAAAGAAATTCATAGTCTTACACGGTATTAAAGTGTAGAGTTTCGCATATAAAAAGATAAAGATAAGAATGAGACTGGTCGACTATTGTCGCTAGCGTTGTTCCATCTTGCCATAGATTGGATCATGAGAATTGCAAAAGAGTAAAAAAGAAGGTATATACCACGCACTCACTGATAATAAGTTGATGACAAAGACTTTGTAGAATATCTCGTCTTATCTCACCCAAGCAATAATAATTACAATAGGAAAAAAAAGCAACCAAAATATCTACAACTCTAAATTCATGTTTATAGGGAGAAAAACAGAATCGTATAAAAAAAAGGAAAAAAAATCTCTCCTATATAACTGAAAGATAAAAATATCTAAAACATAAAATCTGCCACGACGAAGACAGGATAAACAATAAAATTATAGCTCGGAGAGGTGCAGACAAAAAAGCCAGAATTAAAAGGCAAGAGAAGCTTTTAGCCATATGAAAACGTCTTGAGTTAGAGAAAACTGACTGTCAAGTTAGAAATAAAATGATCAAGCCTAAACGTTTGCATAGAGCAATAACTTGGATAACGAATATAAAAATACAATGCATGCATGAACAAAATATTTGATGTATAGGCCTACTCGCATGAAGAACAGATTTAAAAGAAACTTGATTGAAACCATTATCAAAGAAGAACACTAGAGTTACACAATACAGAAACTGATTCAAAAGGAGGTGTAAATTATGTATTATTATTCCAAAGGAGTGACTACTCTTTAAACAAATCAACTATTAGGACCTAGATGGAACCCATTGTGGAAAAAAATCCGCCTAGATTTAATTGGAGACAGGATTTAGAGAAGAATATATAGAAGATGAACCAACATTAAGGAAATGTACAGGAAAAGGCTAATAATTATGTTGCAAAGCCCTAAATAGGGCGATACTCCAAAGAACTAGTACGCAAACAATTCATCCAATAACCTCTAACCTCCCAATTTTTTGTGCCGCCAGACCCCGCAATGCAGGGGGGGGTGTGATGGTACGAAAGGATCTTAGTTTGAAGGTCTTCTTGTTGCATCAGTTGTGAGGGTGGGGATTTTTAAGAAGGCGGACGAATGAATCCAACAACACGCAGTTCAAGTTCAACTATAATTGTTCTTTATTAAAATGATATATATGTTCAAGTTTCTACCTAGCTGATCTACACTGTACTATTTACTTCTACTACTGACCGTTCATATACTACTAACTACACACTCCCGTGACCACTCCTAACACTATCCAACTGTTCCGTAGCTCTGCAAATTAAAACCGTCTCAAACCGCTTCCTAACACCTTCTCTCCTCGCTATCTACCTATCCACTGCCTATCGCTCTACTGACCCACGCCTCAGTGGTCAGCTGACCGTCCCACGTGACCGGTCAGCCCTGTGCGCCCATTGGCCTCTCTAACCAACCAACTAGGCCTATAGTCTGTTTCTGCTAACCTATATCTGCTAAACATGTCTGACGTAATCTTGCGTCATCACATATCTCCCTCCCTTACTGTAGCTGACAAATTATATTTTTCAGCGTCTGCTACTAATCTAATACATCAACAACTATCTATCTTACTACTCTATTCTATCCCTAACATCAATCATATAAATCAAATAAAAAATGGGACAGCACAGTTTACAAAAACATAAAATCTTGTGTCTGTGTTCCTGAAAAAAAAATGTCATTGTTCTAGTTCTCGTGTAAGTGTCTTGACGTTGAGTGTTTCTGCTTGATAATGTATGTCTATGTTTCATGGTATGTGTGAATTCAATCATGTGCAACTCAGTTCTGGCTAGGTTGTCGTGTACTGGCCTTGAGCTAATCTTAGTGGTAATGTGTAACTGGTTGAACGGGCTCTGCGAGCAGTGTAAGTGTATGTGTAAGTGTTATGTAATTGTTGGGGTTCCTCTGTGGTGGGTGGGTTGTGGTGAGTTTTGATGTAAATTCCCGTGAGGCGGGTGTAGGCGTAACTTTCGTTGGTCAATGTGATGACGCAACAAACTCAACGCTGGTTGAGACGTCCACGTAGAGTGGTTATACGATGAACTGGAGCTGTCTGATGCGGTGGCGAACAATGACGTAACGTTCCGACGCTGGGAACTTGGACGATGGGTCGTCTACCCTTTGTATGTGCCGACGTAGGTGTACGTAGCTGGCGGTCTGTTATTCAACCCCAGTGCGGGGGCGAAGCGGTGGCGATGCGTCCGCTGTCTTGACCAGGGCAATTCTCTGTTCAGCAAGGCTGTCCGCTGTCCAGGTAATTCAACGTAATCAGGGCTTCAAGTGGCGGCATTCTTTGAAGTGTCTGCTTCATCTCGTCTCATTCTGAATAAGCGTAGTGGGTCTGAAATTGTATTACGAGACCATGAGCAATGGCTTTACGTGACTATCTTAGTGCCCGCGCAGACAAGTATTCAGACAGAGGTACCTTCCATTAAAAAAAAACCTCAATCCCGAATTTAAACGTGCTGAACATTTGTCTGGCGGCATAACAAGATTAAAAAAAATAACATTACAACATAACCAAATAAAAAATCAGTACACTCTAATCTAACAACAATCTGTAAAGCCTAATAAACTCAATAGACGTAAACACTACTAGAGCTTAGAAATAGCTTCACAAAAAAGAATAGACATGTAAGTGTATATAAATAATCGTGCCGTTTCAAATAACATTTGAACACGTAATCATATAGTGGAGCAGCTCTCACTATCTGACTTCTGACAAAGACTGGCTGGCTTGACTTAATGACTGACTTCACTTATGACTTCAGTAACTTGACTAATTTCACTTTAACTGACTTCAGTAACTTCGCTTATTTCACTTTGACTTCAGTTCTGACTTATACTTCACTGACTTCAATAACACAATTGACATCAGATTTGACTACTCTGACTTCTGACTGTACGACTTCACGTCGATTTCCTCGACGACTTAGATTAACAACAAAAAAAAAACTCCACTTGACTTCACTTTTGTCCGTTGTTCAAAATCATGTATGGGGACGGTCCGGGTCAAATTCCTGGTCATGGGGTTGATGTTCTTGGGCAGTTGCGTGTTATCTATGTGCTGTACTTTCCGTTTCACTAATTCTAACGCTAACTCTGCTTTTGTTCTTGACATTTCTTACTATCTTGACTATCTTGTTTCTTAACCTACTCTCTAAAGATGTTTCAAATTCTTCTTCTTTCTTGTCTAATGGTATGCCCCGTTTATAGCATTGAAACTCTGCCTCCATGGTTGTGTATGTGTATGTGTGTGTAGAGGAAAGTAAACAAAACTAAGGCAACAGGGCGTAACATAAGAATGTGCAAGACAGAAAAACCACTGGTACAAACTATCCAGCACGGGTATAAACCCAAACGTTTAAAAAAAATTATGGAAGGTACTTATCTTTTTGAACATGGTGACTGTTCCCTTGTATTGGTAATCCACTCGTTCCGGTTGAAGAAACCCGCTGTTGTGTTGAGTTGAAGAAAGCTGTACACCAGATGTACTCCGTCATGAGTAAACCGATATACTGTCTTTCCTGT